TGACCTGGTTGGTCCGTTGCCTTCCTCTCAGGGGTTTTCCTACCTCCTCACCATGGTGGACAGAACGACCCGTTGGCCGGAGGCGGTTCCGCTCGTTTCGACATCAGCCGCAGACGTTGCCCGGGCCTTCATTGCAACGTGGGTGTGTCGTTTTGGCACCCCGTCAGACATTTCCTCAGACAGGGGCTCTCAGTTCACGTCCGAGCTCTGGAACGCTGTGGCAGGCGGTTTGGGGGTTAAGCTGCACAGGACTACCGCTTACCACCCTCAGGCTAACGGCCTCTGCGAGCGCTTTCATCGCTCCATGAAGGCGGCCCTCAAGGCCGGCCTTACGGACGGTAACTGGGTCGACAAGCTGCCCTGGGTGATGCTGGGCCTGAGGACCGCACCTAAGGAAGATCTGCAGTGTTCTACAGCGGAGATGGTCTACGGTCAGCCGCTGAGAGTTCCGGGGGATTTCCTCCCAAATGTATCGGCTCCCTGGTCGGCGTCGGCCCAGCGGGCTTTCCTGCGTGATGCCGCTGAGGCCTTTGCTCCAATCCCTACTACTCAGCACGGTACTCAGGTGTCCCAGGTTCCCGCAGAGCTCTGCTCGGCGGAGCACGTGTTCATCCGGCACGATGCGCACAGAGGCCCCCTGCAGCCCCCTTATGATGGGCCTTTCCGGGTCTTGGAGCACGGGGACAAGCACCTGGTGGTCGACCTCGGTGGCAAGGCCGAGCATGTCTCGGTGGACCGGGTGAAGGCTGCTCACCTGGACTTGGACCAGCCTGTGGTGCTGGCTCAACCTCCGCGACGGGGCCGCCCCCCGGCCTCGTCCCCCGTCACGGATTTAAGACCTGTTGTTCCGGTCCCTCCCCTTCCGGGGGCCGCACAGGCGGGAGTCACTTTTCCGACTCCCGTGCTCAGGAGTCGTGGGGGTCGGCCATTCCTGCTAGCTCATCAGGCAGAGTAGTGCATGTGTTAACCTCTCTGAAAGTAATGGATAATAAAGATTGGAACTCCATTCTTAATACACCGCCTCCGACTCTCTTTTCACGGCACTACAATACATCCTTTACTGTAAAAACTGGATCCAAACACAGCTGCCTGTGTGCGCTTGATCAATACTTTCTGATGTTATATGATATGCTACATATTAGCTAGGCTACATGGCCCTAACGCGTAAAGTTATACAAGCATTTGTACTAGTGCTTTTCACAAGTAGACTCTTGCAGGCCAGAGTATAGGAGTGATTCAACAACAACACAAAGACATATGAGAAGTGATCAGGACGAACAGAAAGAGGAAAAGGAAAAGAGAGTTCACTGAAGAGACCAGGAGGGTCAGAGCAGGAGGAAGAGGAGGAGATGAAGAGACCAGGAGGGTCAGAGCAGGAGGAAGACATTAGTGAAGAAGAAGAAATGTATGTGAGGAATAAAGATGAAGTATCAGAAAGAGGGACAGAGGCAGGGATCAGGAGGCAGATGAAACTCCAGCTGGACCACATGGTATGTTCTTAATCCCCTTACATATTCCATCACAGCAGCACAATCTAGCAGCTCTTAGTATTGACAAATATTGATTGAAATGTGTTGCTGCACAGGTCACCTTTAGCTCTCTGAAGAGATGGGTGATGTCATTTGTGTACTTCATTATAAATTGAAATGTTGAGTTTGTCAATCTTAATCTGAAAATACAAAAACTGAAATATAGGTAATGAGGAAACTGACACTTTTGTGATGTAATTCCCTCAATGCAGATCACACATGGACTGATCCATTATTTTAATAGGAGGGTAAATGGTATGGCGTGACGGGGTTGAAACAAACTGAGGGACAATATTGCAATTTCATAGATAATTCAAGTATTTTTTCAGAATTTATTTTTGATCAGTTAAAGTTGACAAGCATATGATTATATTAGCAGCAACATTTTGGGATAATTGGCCATTTTGATTGGTTTGATATTAAATTAATATGTAATAATGCTTAGTGAGGACATGCAAATATGTCTGTCTAATACTAAGAAAACCAATTTTTTAAAAACTAAATATATATTTAGTTTGACATTGTAATGCAAAAAAACCTGTTCCATTAATTCATTGCTTTAAAATACATTTTGTAGTTTCCTTTCATTTAAAATGGTTGAGGTAAGCTTGGGGGACTCAAAGGGCACCCGATTGTTTGTCTGAACACCTTGTTTCTCTTGTGCATTAAGAACACTTGTGTTAGGGCATGAATTAACAATAAATAGGTTATATACAGTATAAAATACCACGTACTGTCCGCCCTCCCATGCCACCCTGGCATGACCTCTTGCCCCCCCTTTGCCCCCCCATGTAAAATGTTCTAGAACCGCCACTGTGTCTACCCCTCTACAAAATATATGATGTTTATATAAGTTCTTGCATAAAAACATTTGTTATAAAATAGTGAACAACACGACCTCGGTCCAAGAAACCCTGTGACACCCTGAAGGCAGCATGGGCAGGGTCATCCCTCCCTACAGGCCGATCATGCAGGCTGCATGGAACCTCACATTGCGCAGGGGGCCTCGCGCAGGGTTCCTCAGTTTATGAGCTCGGCTTGTGCGCAGTTCTCCGCGCACAACATACCATTTTCATTGCAGGACTTTTACTGTAACAGAGTATTCCTACACTCTGGTACTTTTACTCAAGAACAAGATCTGAGTACTACCAAATTAACTTCTTAATAAAACTACTTGGTGGTTAGTTGAACATCGCAATAATGGTCATGATCACGTGGTTTTATGAGGTTCATTCAAGTTGTCTCTTCCTCTGCTCTGCCTTAGGTTCAGGGAAATATGGGTTCAGCGAGTCAGTTCATGCCCTCAAACATCTCGTCAAAAATTACACAATATCCTGTCTTGGAAGCAATGCCATGAGTGAGTGATATTTGTTGACTTTACTGAATAAAAGGCTCAAAACCAACCAAATAATTCATGTTTGATTAATAATTGTTGTTGATATTGAAGCTGCAGGTTCATGTAAGATTTTCCAACATTGTGTTCTAAACCTATAAGAAGGTTTTGAAAGATGGAGCAGTTATCAGTGCATTTATTATCGAATATAAACACAGAGCAAAATTGTTACAATTTAATATATATATTTATTATAAAAGACCATTTTAATTAGCTATTTCTAAGATATTTAAAGCTTGTGGGGAAAAAACTGGAGCACCCCGGAGAAAAAACTACGATCATAATTAACCTCCTAACCCCCCTTTTGGGAATTAATCTCAAAACAACGAGATGTCTTGAGATTGATCCACCTTTAACTCACCGTTAACCCTAAAATTGTAAACGGTGGTGTAGTCTATTCACCCCAGTTATTTAAAACCTGCAGCCTCACATGGCGGAAGACTCCTTTACTGGGATCCTGGAAAGAGACAAGAGATTAAAGTAGAGTCAGGCTTTTACAACAATGAAAGGATACAAGAAATGTTAAAGCAATATTCATCTATGTGGATTACATGCTTTGTTGGGAGCACTACTCAGATACCCTTATGTTGTGTTCGGGTCTCCCGTGACCCGTTTCAAGTTAAAATGATATATTAACTACGCTCTAGTTTTTTTTATCTGAACAAGGCTCCATGATATCCTCCACAACAGATATATAAACACAACTGATGTTGACCATTTGAGCCAAGTCTGAAGGTCTCTAAAAATAAAGTGTATAATTTGGTGTTGGGGTCTGGGGAGTCCCAGCAGAATTGTTTTGGGTGACTCGAGGTCAAATTTGGCCCAATCAAGATTCATCTTTGACTTTAAACACCCTTCCCCCTTCATCAACTGTAACAATATTTGTTCTCAACCTTTATATATACAGTCTATGTTCTCAACATGCACCTGGTCTCCCCTCCCTCTGGCCCCCTCCCCCACGGGAACTCGACCTTTCTCAAAGAATATGTACGCTAACACTTGAACCTGAACACACACATGCACGTGTGCAATATGTGGTGTAATGTGCTTTGGGCCATAACATTAAATTACAACAGGATTGTACGGTTATGGACGCATAATAAGTTAGTTATGATGTAGTTAATACAATTTTGGATGATAGTCATTTTTTGTGTGTGTTTTGGACTGAGATACATGATACCAATACCATGAACGGTAACAGCTTTCGAACACAATACAAGGGTTAAGTACAATTAGAAAAACTATGGTCTTAAAATACTTCACTACAAGTAAAGTCCTGATTTCAAAATGTTTTGCGAATAGTTTTAATAGCAACTCCATCTCTACAGTTGTCATGTGTTGTGTAATGATCTTAGCCCCTTAATATGTTTTTGAAAGTGTTTAAATAAAAAAAACAAGCATGTTCATAAGACCTTCACAGTTTCTCTTGAGTTATACTTACAGGCAGAGCAAAGGTCTGATATGCTGGACCGTCTTGATCGTACACCATTTTTCCCAGGAAGGTTCCTCTTTCTCCCGCGGTCCTCATTCCCTGGAGAGTAAAGAGAGACAAGGATGAGATGAATATTTTCATGAATCAATCAATCAATTGAAGTTTATTCATATAGCCCAATATCACACATTTTACATAGTAGGCTCTACAGTTTGTACAGAATATTAATATGACACCCTCTGTCCTTAAACCCTCACATCGGACGAGGAAACACTCCCAAAGAAACCCCAAAGTTAGTGGGGGAAAAATGGAAGAAACCTCTTTGATAGGAGGGATCCCTTTTCCAGGACGGACAGACGTGCAATAGATGTCGTGTGTAAAGATAATACATTTACAACACAGACAGTCCTAATGCTAGAAAAGATCATATGTCTATATACAGTATAAGAAGAAGATGGATCCAGGTGGATGTCAACAATCCTCTGGGGAAGTATTTTGTTGTGCATTTTGTGAATTACCAAAAATATACAAGACATATGGAGGATAACAACAGAAAATGTGTGACGTAGACTTCAAACTCCCTCGGTGCGCTGGGAATGTTTCTGATGATTGATTGGCTCTCAGTGATGTGACCCAGAGTCACCTGGGTGATGGACACTGGGTGGGACAGGGAGAGCATGTGCCCTCGTTCACCTGCAAAAGCCCAGCAATCTCCTGGTTGCAATATTGAACGTCCCTGAATAGAGAAAACAATTAATATGTACAATGTATAGACTACAACTGTTTTTCATTTGTTTCATGTGATTGAAATCCTAGAAGTAATACATTTGACTTCCTATACCTGAATCACTCGTCTCTGATTTTTTTAAAACCACCTGCTGAATATTATATCCGAAATTCCTTCAGTTGTCTGCTGGGACCACTACGTATCGGACGTCCAATGATGTAACACCCTAGCCCCTGCATGGACACAATGAAAAGTTAAGAAGAAAACAAGTTCCACTCTAAATCACATGTACGATGGAGGGAGATAAAGATGGCTCCATCTTGAGACTCCAACGCGAAATTCGACGTGTTTGGAGGAAGCAACATCACACGCTGTCTCAATGTCTGCAACTCATCCCAGTATGCGCTCATTGTAAAACATCCGTGTGCCAGACCTGAGGAACAACCAAGAAGAAGGTTCAGACATTTTAATTTGACTTACAAGGAAAACCTTAACATGTTTACAAGAAATGATTGTTGCAGACAATTAAGTCAAAGTCAACTTTATTGTCAATCTTTCAGTTTGTGTGTACAGACCTTTATATATACAGTATGGTACAGACCCATGGTACAGACAGAGAGATCGAAATACCGTTTCCCACAATCCCAAATACAAAAATACTAATATATATAAAAATATGTATATCCTATATATACCCAATCAACAGACACATTTATACATACGCACACATTAAGACATAAATAAAAGCACAACGATCAATATATACAAAATAACAGTCACTTACCACCAGCCAGAGGGATCAGGATGAACGAACAGCATATTTGTTTCTCTCCGATCTTCCTCGAAGTCCCTTGCTCAATTTTCCCGCCGTTGTCTCCATGGCTGTCAACTGACTGCTGGTCAACCATCAACTCGTGGTCTCCCATTAATTTGTGGTTGCCCATATACTTGTAGTCAGGGGCGCCGCCAGGGATTTTGGGCCCCATGAAATATCACATTGGTTACTTAAACATTTTTTTCTTAATGTTCTAAAATAGTTTGGGCCCCCTGTCAGTTACGGCGCCCCTGCTTCATGTACTTGGTCTCTCAGAAGGTGATCCTGGCCTCTTCCTGTCCTCCTCCGAAAGACCTTAAATAATGATTATAAATTGATTACACATATGCGCACGAAATGACTGCTATCGTGTCAGTAGCGGGACCTTAGCATATATATAGGATATCTATTTACAATATATACAAAGACACAATATTGGACACAGACTATAAAGGGCACACAGTTTCATTCACTAATGAAAGTCAAACACATGTTTGTTTCCACTGTTTTATTGTGTGCATAGGCCTGTCGCGATAAGCAATTAATTGACTTATCGTACGATAAATAAAAATGAACTCGATAAATTGCCATTTACATGAGGATGTGACTAGCAGTTTGAAATGATGTACTTGAATTATTATTATATATTATCAGTATGTCAGTGGTCTAAAATGGTCATACAACGGTGCCGACAATATTATCGTTTATCGCAATAATTTCCGGGAAAATGTATCCTACAAAATAAATTATCGTGAGAGGCCTATACACACACACAAACACATCTACAGACTTACTCCAAACTGCCAAATATATGAATTAACACACTCTCACTCTCATACTCTTTGACTCTATTTTAGCCTAGTAGAACAATAAGCAGCAGACTTTTACTTTTTATCATTTCTACTGGATCTTAGATCTGCGCATGCGCAATATGGGGCGGCAGTGGCGGCCACGGAGTATTTTTGTCGGGTAATCTATGGTAGGGCTAACCCATACAGTGGTGGGGCTCAAGTCAGTATTTGCAATGTAATTACATACACACTCCCCTTGACAGTGAAACGCCACGCGTGAGATTTAGATTATTTCCCTGTCTCAATCCAAATTGAACTGTATGAAATAAAAAGGCACATTTGTCTTTTAGTAAATAAAAAGGGCGACCTGGAGCCAAGCCTGCAATTTCCCCACAGGTGAAAGAGTTGACCTGCTGAAAACCCAACCCCTGCAGGGGGGTCTGGGGGGATTCTCTTGAGAAGAAAAATAAATACATCTATTACTACAGGACATATTTAAACAAATTAATGCCATTTTAGTTTTTTGTTACTTTGTTCTGAAAGCTGAACCTGCTGCTCTTCGCAGAGAGAAGAGGCTGTGTGAATGACTTTACATTGTGGATAAGGGTGGATAGCCCCCATTGTTCTGTGTCAAAATGAAAGACAGCCCACACACCTATCAATCATCAAACCGTGGGGTCTTATTTCATTACGTGTTGATTTCTATCAACACGTAATGTTGTATCGATGTATAGAGATGTACTACAGCAAAAGTATTCTTCGTCGGGACTTCCTGCAACAACACCACGCCGTTATCTTGATTCTGATTGGCCAGAAGACATTATCAAAGATGTTCTATTGAGAAGACGATCACTACGTGACAAAAGTTTTCAAAACCGTTTCTAGTCTTCGGTATTCTTGTTTTGGCGTGAGAATAGTTTGGGCAGCGTGAGAGCGTGAGATTGAGAGTGAAAGCGTGTGTCACACGCCAGATGCGTGAGAGTTGGCAACCCTGATATATAAAGGAAAAAAAACACCACAGCAACGTACCAGACCTCCTTGCATTGCACAGTTTGACATCCTTCCTCGCTGTAATAACCCGCCTCCTGCAGTGACGACTCATTGTTGAGTTGGACTCTGGAAAATATGGGAAAAGAATCATCAGTGACATAGCAACACTCAAATGAATACAGTCTAAAAGGTCAGAGGTGGGAGAAAGTCACTATTTTGCATGTTACATGTACATCTGAGGTCTTGGGACGCTAGAAACAAGTCCAAAGATTTGATTTTTAAGTCATAAACCAGTCATAAAATTAGATTTTTCTTGACCACCACGAACCAGATTCGGATCATGGCTCTCAGTTATTGCCTCTTTAATTGATGTTCTCTCCTGTAACTTGATCGGACGTTTTCAGATTAAATAAAGGATCTGGTAAACCAAATGTTGACCTGCTAGTATGAATGAAAGGTGTTTTAGTAGATTTAAACACACTGTGTAATCAGCATGCTGTTTAATCTTAGGGTAATCTATCGAGTCACAGAGGCAACCAAAATATAATTCTGCCCATTTGACATTTAAACCAGAACATTAAAAAAATGTTGGATTGTTATTTTATCACTTTTTTTAAATGTAGTAATGCTTTCCCCAGAAAATATATGTAATGAGACTTCTTTTACGCAGCAACATCAACATACTTGTAAAATGTGAAATATATCACGTACAACACATTACAGGAAATCATACAGTTCACTATATATAAAGACACATTTATTTTCAGAAATTATGTATATGACTAAAGGAATATTTATATATTTACTTGGGTTTAACATGAACGCCTGCAGAAATCAACAAACTTGCACACTTTCTATATTAACCTTATAATCAGATAACATTTGATTAGATATACTTTATTGATTACATTGTATTGCATGTCGCTTTTATCCAAACTTCTTCTGTGTGTGAGATACAGACAGGGAGATCCAAATGCGTCTCTCACAATCCCAAGGAATACAAATATCAAAAACCTTTCAATCTAAATTAGACCCATATTACACTCATATTACACCCATGGCCATGTAACACCAATATTACACCCATATTACACATGAACACAACCTGTCAAATGCTTGAATCGCCAAGGATACAGAAACCATTTAACAAAAGTGTGTTACTGTAGTGTCCCGTGAAAAATGTTGAATCTAGTCATGCTTCATGTTTAGTCTTTTTTTGTCTTGTCTCCCACTTCCTGTTTTATTTTGGTACTCACCTGTTATGTTTCTTTCCAGGTCTCTTGACTCCCTATCCGTGTGTGTGTCTCCCGCTCTCATCAGCGCCAGCCCCGCCCCTGATTGTTTCCACCTGTGCCCAGTTACCTCTTGTTTAAATTCCCCAGTCTCCCGTTGTTTTGTGTCAGTTCGTCTTGTAGTCTCAAGTAGTCAGCGTGCCTGCGATTACTCTCCTTGTCTCAAAGCCTGATTTAAATGCTCTCAAAGTTATTTTTGTAGGTTTGTTCCTCACGTAGTGAGCGATTTTCCTCTGTGCCTTTTTGAACCTTTTTTGTCACCTCATCAAGAGTGTCGATTCTTATTTATATCCCGTTTTTTTTTTTTAAATAAAGTATCTTACTCATACTTTACCCAAGTTGTCTCCTGGGTCGTGCATTTGAGTCCAAGACCTTTTGTTTCCAAGTTCGTGACAGTTACTTCCATTAGGCCTACTATTTGTATTGGCTGGTTGATTGGAAATATGTCAGTGTGTGTAGCCAAGATGTTAAATGTGAATGCTTTCAAACACACGCATTTATTTTTGGAAGGATGATCTGTATTGATCAGTATTGAGGTCACACAAAAACCTGTAGCTTTTAACTCCTGAATTACATGTAGTCTGACACTAGATGGAGACACAGACTCTGCATGTGTGTGTTGTTGTGAGCCGCATCCATGCACTTATAGTCATTTTTAACCACCTTTTAAGTTAAATACTATACATATTCTCTTAAAGGCAGTATTGTGTATGAAATGACTGGACTTTAATGTCTCTGATAACAAAATAATAGTTAGTCAACTGGTGGTAAAGGTGTTGTGGAGGAAGTGGCTGTTTTGCTTCCCACGCAGAGGAGGGTTTTCCGGTGAAAGTTTCCTTTGTGATTCGGAAGTGGCGGTGTGATGCCGTTTATCTTTACAGACACAACACCCAAGAGACAACCATGACAAGTAAGCGTTGAATAGATAAAGTTACATAACATAAATTAGCATTTGCTACAGAAAACCCGCAGTGACAAACAAGAGTTAAAGCTAAAGAGCTAACCGTTAATGGTAAATGCTAATGGCATGCTAACGGTAGCTAGCTAATTTGTGAATGTCTGCAGTAAACAGGGATGGGGATTAGATTTAAAACCTAGCTTGTGTCTATAATAAAGATGATATTCAGTTTTTGGTTACATTGTTAGTTTATGATGTCGTTTAGGTGCGATTTCACATAGTGGTTTGACTTAAATGTGCGTTTAGACTTCAGGTTAACTCCCACCCAGACATGCTAACAATAGCTTAGCATGTCTGTGTTTTGGACACTGACAGCTGTAGCTCCATGACATCTGTGGAAAGGCCTGTGAAATGTGGTCTTGTTTAACCCATATTATCATCTTTCTTTATTATATTTGAACTTATGTTACTCCACTAGAGCCTTTGTTTTGTACATGTCCTGGTTACACTGATACCAAAGCTGCTGTAATCCGTACAGTATTAGCAGAGGTGGAAGAAGTACTGAGATCTTGTACTTGAGAGTAAAAGTACAAGTACCAGAGTGTAGGAATACTCTGTTACAAGTCCTGCAATTAAAGTGTTACTCAAGTAAAAGTATTACCATCTAAATGTACCAAAAGTAGTCATTGTGCAGATTGGTCAATTTCAGAATAATATATATGATATGTTTTTATAATTACTGATGGATTAAAGTGTTCTCAAAGCTGGTAAAGGTGCAGCTAGTTTTAATAACTTTGTATACTGCAGGGTAGCTTGTTAATTTAGTAAAATATCTGAGCACTTCTTCCACCACAGGAAATAGCTTTTCTCCTATGAAGCTTTTTTAATTTTCTTCAACAGAACCAAACAAAGCTCCATCCTGCTGAAATGAGAACACGCCTCTCCAGGATTTAGTAATACAGGTAAGCAACAAACCAATTTCCCATCAAGCCTAATGTGTCTCAGGTCATTACATTGGAACCACATCCTGTACCATCCTGCTCACTGACGTGCTGTTGTAATATTTTGGGGGTTTTCCTGTATCTGATGTTGAAACAAAGCTTTGTGTGTGTGTGTGTGTGTGTGTGTGTGTGTGGAAAAAAAATGTTGATGCAAATTTGACAGGCTAGTGTGGGCAGGTATGGAGGAATGCTAGAGTAATAAGTGTCCTTCTCTAATGTATTGCAACAGACACACACTGCATGTTGGAACAGCAGCCCTCTGTTGGGAAAGGAAGGATGGGGCAACTGAGGTAGATTTCGATCAGAAATGGTTATTTAACCGTCTGATATCCAGGTCAGCCATGGCCCTGCTGATCTACATGATGGAGGCATCACTGTGCGCACTGCAGTAGAGCTCCTGCAACCGCATCATCGATTAATTACTCATTAATGCTTTGGTGTATAAAATGCTAGAAAAAAAAATGTTGTGAATCGAGTGGCCTGTGTTCGTCGTCCATAACATACGCCTGCCCATACCATACCCCCACCACCACCATGGGCCACTCGATTCACAACATTACCCTAACCCTACCCCTCACACCAGATACTGACTGGTTTTCGGACCCCCCCAATAAAGCAAAACTGCACGTTTCAGAGTGGCCTTTTATTGTGGCCAGCCTAAGGCACACCTGTGCAATAATCATGCTGTCTAATCAGCACCTTGATATGCCACACCTGTGAGGTGGGATGGATTATCTCGGCAAAGGAGAAGTGCTCACTATCACAGATTCTTTCAGATTTGTGAACAATATTTGAGAGAAATGGTTATTTTGTGTAAATAGAAAATGTTTTAGATCTTTGAGTTCATCTCATGAAAAATGGGAGCAAAAACAAAAGTGTTGCGTTTATATTTTTGTTCAGTGTAAATAAAACCACTGAAAAACCTTCTTGTGTCTTGATGGCATTAGATTTGCATCTCAAAGTGATGTGTTCCCCTGATACTGAGATCACATGATGTCCTGAAGCCAACACTCACACCATCTCTGTGTAAATCACAGTAGCTTGCACAGTAATCAGGCATGCAGCGTGTCCTACTGTAGATGCTAGTATTGCTTGTTAGTCCACACTGCAGCGGTCGGACCCTCCATTCTTTATTGTTATTATTCTGCTACATTTGACCACCTCAAAATGTCACCGTCACGTCATTTCCTTAGTTCCCCTGCTTGTTTCCTGGTTGTTTTTTCTCAGCCTCCCTTGTGACTCCCTTGTTGGACATCTGTAACATGTGATCAAGTGTGTAATATAATCACGCCAAGATGTGCATGCAAACTCAAGTCTGTACGCTTTGAGGATTTGCTCAGTGTCATGGCGGGGGAAATTCTTTGACTGGAGGACATCAGGTGATTCATTATGTAAACAGGGTGGTGTTGAAAGGCTTCTAAGGCATTTTGACTCATCATACCCTCTATATAATCTGTTGAAATCTCATGTATCCTATTATAAATAGTGATACGCTTAAATCCAAACACAAAACTGACACCTTTCTTAATTGCAGGATTAAAGGATTATTTTGTTCATGGTGCAACACACGGTTAGATGCAGTTATACTCATGGGGAACAGAACAAAAACAAAAGTCGTGTATTCCCCTGAAGTGATTAGCAATGATGAAATATCTGGGTAAATAATATGGTTGGCATCTTTAACACGAAAAAGTACACAATAGACATTTCTATTACTGCTTGTGCATTCAACATCTTTTTAATAACAACTGTCAAATAAATTCAAATGATGCCCTGCAGGCTAAAAAACATTGTCTCAGATTAAATTTGACACGATAAATCTTGCAGACTGAGGTGTGTGTGTGTGTGTGTGTGTGTGTGTGTGTGTGTGTGTGTGTGTGTGTGTGTGTGTGTGTGTGTGTGTGTGTGTGTGTGTGTGTGTGTGTGTGTGTGTGTGTGTGTGTGTGTGTGTGTGTGTGTGTGTGTGTGTGTGTGTGTGTGTGTGTGTGTGTGTGTGTGTGTGTGTGTGTGTGTGTGTGGCGCCTAGCATTACTATCCTTGTGGGGACCTAAATCTGTTTACAGTCACATGTGGGGACTCGCCTCCCTTATGGGGACAAATTGGAGGTCCCCATGAGGGCAATCATTAATTTTAGGGTGAAGACTTGGTTAGGGTTAGGAATGTGATGGTTAAGGTTAGGATAAGTCTCCAGGATGTGTGTGTGTGTGTGTACTCAAGGGCTGGGAAATATATAGTAATCTGGATACAAGTCTAGATTTTGGATATTGTAATATTGCATAAGTGTCAAACCTAGTTTTAAAGACACTTTTTGGGGTTGTTCCTGCTGTGTGTTATATGGGTTTTTGTGCATGTAAATGGTCTGCAAACGCTAAAATCACAAAGTTAGGCAAAGCTGGCGTCATTTTCTAAACTTACCTGACTGTTCTGTTGTTAAATATGGAAGTTACGTCATTTTCTTTAAAATATTTGTCACTACAAAAAGCATACGTACAGCAGCAATACACATTTCTATGGTGTGGATATTATGGTTTATTTTAGATGTCAAACCATGGAAGAGATACAAAACAGCTGACTGAGAACAGCTGAATAACTTAATGGGGATATTTGTCTTGCAGCTAGATCAACACAGAACACACATCTTTTACAGCTTCCTTTATGAAACACTTCCTTGTGTAAATGGTCAAAAGTAACATGGTTTAAATGTGTGGAAACTGCTCTGGTTGTTAAAAAAGATCCATAAACAAAGCACTGCCTCTTTGAAGCAGCGACCACAGCAACAGTTGTAAAAGCTCAAACATGCAAATTCTTCCCTGACGGCAGCCCCACGCACACACACACACACACACACACACACACACACACACACACGCACACACACACACACACACACACACACACGCACACACACACACACACACACACACACCATGTATACATAACTTCAGGGGACATTACATTGACTTACATGCATTTCCTGGAGACTTATCCTAACCTTAACCATAACCAACACATGCCTAACCCTTAACCTTAACCTAACCCTTACCAAGTCTTCACCCTAAAATTAATGATTGCCCTCATGGGGACCTCCAATTTGTCCCCATAAGGGAGGCGAGTCCCCACACGTGACTGTGTAAACAGATTTAGGTCCCCACAAGTATAGTAATGCTAGGCCACACACACACACACACACACACACACACACACACACACACACACACACACACACACACACACACGCCTGTAAAGTGCCCTGTAGGAGCCACATATGAAGCCATTTCTGTGTTTGTTACGATACATGTTTTTTGAGTCACTATAGGTGGTGGGCGTGTCATTGGATTTGTGTGGTGACGTTTGTGCTTATATCCGGTTGCTTTTACCTGCGCACGTGGTAATAGATGGGAGAGTGAGCTAGAGAAGGACCATTTTTGTTGACCGCACGCACACACGCACGCAAGGATACGTATATGGATATGGAATATTGCATTTTTGCTTTGGAAATAAAAGGTCAAACGCATACTGTGTTGGAAAGACTGAGTTTTTGCGCGTCCACAGTGTTTTTTCTCTTGTTTAGTCCCTCGCGGCACTTTGTTTAAGATTACTGCCGCAATATGCTCCAAGTACCATTTAACTATATTTAATTTTATCTCATGGCTATGATGAATACTCAACTCTTATTGGCCAATAAAGACAACCTGATAAGATAGTACACACAAAGTGATATTACAGGGCCGTTCTGAAGAATCAAACTTTGAAAAATACTTACCCTTCCTTTTTTTAACAATATAATCAGGGGTGCACATAACTTTGTTTCCCTGGTTCTCAAAGGAGCACCTGGAGATGTTGCTTGGTGCTCATCCTTAAAATGAAATAAACCGTAACTTTTGAGGGGTCTTGACTTTATTTGCCAGACACACGGCACTGAACACACAGAGGTGAACACAGAACACACATGCAGAGGTGAACACAAGACAACATTAGCACGACCAGTAATCCTGCAAGCTGTCATCACTACCCTCCTGACTGTTCTCCTCACTGTCTTCCTCTCTGTCAGACATGGTAGCTGATGATGTAGGCCTACTTCTTTCTCTCTGGTTGAGTCTGTGATTAGCTGCTTGCATCCACAAGTCAACAGCTGTGTTTGGGTCGAAAGTCTCTGTTGTCATCTTAGAAAAGTGGATGTAATCCAATAAGTATGTGAACATAACCAATAACCTACCATAGCCAATAACAAATGAATGGAACTTATTTTATTTGTGTTGTTCATTAATATCTTATTTTACCTTAACATTTATTTATTTATGCATTTTTTTGTATCTCCAGTTTTAAAGGATATTTTTGGTTACTGTCCTATAGTATACATTGGAATGATTTCAAACCTGTTTATCCCAATAATTATAAAGGAGTGCCTTGGAAATATGTGTTTACATAAATTGTGACCAAACCGTTTGAACTTAGACTAAAGTTAACTATCTAAACACTCAAGAGTCCTTTACCTCACTGAGCTGTAGTTATCAGCCTCTCAGTCTGACTGGAGAGGACTCTCCCTCCACATTATTGTAGAATCATCTTCTTCTTATATCCGTTAGAGCAGCTAGCACCAGATGCTAATAACAACAGCGCTGGCCTGGTACCGGTGCACCCTCCCTCTCTCCCTCGCTCACTCGCACTTTAGCTGTGAGCTGCGGGCGCCAGATAAGCCAACATCCCCCATTTTCATCACTTACAGCGCCCATCGTACAGGGCAAATGAAACGTGTAACCGGGGTGAAAAGGGTGTTACATTTACTTAATTATGAATGTTGTTACATCAAGGCCTAAAATTAGGATGAGCCCCAACGGTCAAAATGTTTGTTTCCCTCCCAGAGCTACCAGCGCAGCGACTCCCCAGATCTGGCGCCCTAGGCGAACATCTAGCCACTGCTACGAGCCGGCCCTGAGTTAATATCATGGTTCATATGCAACTCGCAAATATCTTTCTCTCTCTCTCTCTCTCTTCTCTCTCTTCTCTCTCTCTCATCTCTCCTCTATTTTCTCTGTTCTCTTTTCTCTTCTCCCTTCTCTCTTTCCCAGGGCCGGCCCCTGACCAATTTGCCGCCCTAGGCAAGATTTAGCTGGCGCCCCCCCCCCAAAATGCAGACACTTACTATGACTCGTGCGTGCACGGTTGTGGCATGACCACCAAAACAGAAAGATGTGTGCAACTGTATTTAGTTTCCTATCCATTTGAACATGATTTAAGTGGGGGGGGGGGACCTCACCTCCTCTAGGGGGGTCCGGGGGGCATGCACCCCCGGGAAGACTTTTTTTTTTAATATTGAAGTTAAAAGCATCAATCTGGTGCACTTTGAGAGCAACATTAGGAGATCTATGGATACATCCCCCCACACCCATATGAAACAGAACTGTAATCAGATTTTCTTTTTCTTTATGGATATTTTACAAATCACTCCCCTTTCAAACTGTATTCTTGTTTATTAATAACAACTTTTTTCTATTCTCTTATTTTTTTATAACTATAATGATCATATAAAGGTGTGCCTTTACCTCACTGAGCTGAGGTTCAGAGCCGCTCAGTCTTTCAGGAGAGAGCTCTCTAAAGCTCTCCCCCCACGGCCGCTTACACAGTAAATTCCAATGTTAATAAAAGCACACAGAAGCTGTGTACGTTTTTTGGGAGTTTGATTTATTTTAAATGAATACAAATACAAAATTAAAACCTATAATTGCAAATTAAAACCATTATTTCAAAAAAAGAACAATTTCACATAAACCCCTGGTTTTTGCTGGGGCAGTTCAACTTGATTTTGGGGGGGGGGGGGGTGCCATAGTTTATGGGCGCTGTACGCAATATAGGCGTAGTTCTGTTAGTATAAGATAATAAGATGCACTTTGTTGATCCAAAATCGGGAAATTGTGTTGTTATGAAATTATTTTAATTTTAATTTTTAAATAAAAAAAAAAAAGAATTTCTTCAGTTTTCGGCGCCCCCTATGGGTTGATGCGCCCTTAGCATTCGCCTATGCTGAGGGCCGGCCCTGCTCTCTCCCTCTCTCAATGTTGGTACGCAAATGCGCTTTGTTTCAAATGACCCGATGCTCTTTTTTTGGCGGAGGTGCGCATGCGCACCTGTTATGTGCAGCCCTGAATATAAGCAAGGCACAAGCTTGGCAAATTATTGTTAAATGTTCAAAAGTCATTTTGTGATTTTATGTCTTAATAGTATTTTTAAAAACCTCAATCGTCTTAAAACCTATTTTATTTAATTAATAAAATAAATACAATTAGTATTTTTCACTTACGTATTCAATAAGATATGTAATAATGAGCATATCTCCTGTAAAATAAAATGTCTGTTTGCCTAAATATTGGAATAATAGGTTTTGATGCACATGAATCCATATACATGCAGCCCAAATAGTTTGGAGAAAGGAAGTTAAATGTGTGTGTAAGTCTAATGGCTGCAGAACATACATGTTTATGGGATCTATTCAAAGCATTACTCCAACAGTGTATAAGAAAAATACTTTAAAAGCAAGTTCCTTTTATCCTTTGGCAAGACAGATACAACTTTATTTTCAAGGTTCAAGGCTTTTATTGTCATGTGTACATAGCTACAGGTTAGTTATGACAATGAAAATATTAGGTCACAGGCTCCTCCAACAGAGCAACACAATACAACTGATAAAATAGTGCAAGTAAATAAAATAAAATAGAAAAAGCACACAACGAAAAGTAAACAAACACTGAAATAAAGCGGAAAAAAGGCAGAGTTGGAGAGGAGTAAAAGACACGGCAGCCATCTTTTTAAATAATAAATAAAATAAAATATAAGCTTTATTTTTAGTGTTAAAATGAATTTCCGAGCACCGTAATTAAACCCTCTGTTTGCCCACAGGTCTCTCCGTCACCCCTGGCGATGCTTCACCCCCACAGAGAGGAGGATCTGGGAACCGACAGCATGGAGGAGAACCCTCCGAGCGAAGCGGTGGCCTGGGAGCTCGAGGAGCTGACCCTGCAGACCGGATTCCCCCCAAAGCCCCTGCAGGAGAGGAAGAATGGTGAGACTGTAGTGCACGATATATTTAAAGGTCACCTATTATGCAGAATCCACTTCTTCATGTCTCTTCTACATCAGCATGTGTCCCCTCTTCTTCATGTCTCTTCTACATCAACATGTGTCCCCTCTTCTCCATGTCTCTTCTACATCAACATGTGTCCCCCTCTTCTTCATGTCTCTTCTACATCAACATGTGTCCCCTCTTCTCCATGTCTCTTCTACATCAACATGTGTCCCCTCTTCTTCATGTCTCTTCTACATCAACATGTGTCCCCTCTTCCTTCATGTCTCTTCTACATCAACATGTGTCCCCTCTTCTTCATGTCTCTTCTACATCAACATGTGTCCCCTCTTCTCCATGTCTCTTCTACATCAACATGTGTCCCCTCTTCTCCATGTCTCTTCTACATCAACATGTGTCCCCTCTTCTCCATGTCTCTTCTACATCAACATGTGTCCCCTCTTCTTCATGTCTCTTCTACATCAACATGTGTCCCCTCTTCTCCATGTCTCTTCTACATCAACATGTGTCCCCTCTTCTTCATGTCTCTTCTACCATCAACATGTGTCCCCTCTCCTTCATGTCTCTTCTACATCAACATGTGTCCCCTCTTCTTCATGTCTCTTCTACATCAACATGTGTCCCCTCTTCATCATGTCTCTTCTACATCAACATGTGTCCCCTCTTCATCATGTCTCTTCTACATCAACATGTGTCCCCTCTTCTCCATGTCTCTTCTACATCAACATGTGTCCCCTCTTCTTCATGTCTCTTCTACATCAACATGTGTCCCCTCTTCTTCATGTCTCTTCTACATCAACACGTGTCCCCTCTTCTTCATGTCTCTTCTACATCAACATGTGTCCCCTCTTCTCATGTCTCTTCTACATCAACATGTGTCCCCTCTTCTTCATGTCTCTTCTACATCAACATGTGTCCCCTCTTCTTCATGTCTCTTCTACATCAACATGTGTCCCCTCTTCTTCATGTCTCTTCTACATCAACATGTGTCCCCTCTTCTTCATGTCTCTTCTACATCAACATGTGTCCCCTCTTCTTCATGTCTCTTCTACATCAACATGTGTCCCCTCTTCATCATGTCTCTTCTACATCAACATGTGTCCCCTCTCTTCTCATGTCTCTTCTACATCAACATGTGTCCCCTCTTCTTCATGTCTCTTCTACATCAACATGTGTCCCCTCTTCTTCATGTCTCTTCTACATCAACATGTGTCCCCTCTTCTTCATGTCTCTTCTACATCAACATGTGTCCCCTCTTCTTCATGTCTCTTCTACATCAACATGTGTCCCCTCTTCTTCATGTCTCTTCTACATCAACATGTGTCCCCTCTTCTTCATGTCTCTTCTACATCAACATGTGTCCCCTCTGTGGAAAGAGACTTGAAAGTTTCAGGAACAAAGTTTCTCTCTCTTTTTGATCCATTTCTATAAAATCCTGTCTGAAAATAAGCTGATCAGATTTTGGCCACTTTATGATGTCATAACGATGTGATGGCTTGTGTAACCATTAGCCAATCAGCAACCAAGGTAACCCCCCCCCCCCCCCCTTATCACCTGAATCTCCTCCTAGAGCTCCATTGTGTTCTTTGTAACCAAATCTCTCTCAGAGGGCGTGGGGAGGGGGCTCCTTATTTCATCTAAAGTAACAGACAGAGAATCAGCACTTTGGAAACAGGGCTGAAACAGAGGGGATTATGGGTAATGCTGTAATGATCTGTTTGGTGTTTCAGCCAATCAGAGACAGGCTCTGTATATATCTGAGACCTGTGATATATTGATGAAAAACAGTATGATAGGGGACCTTTAAATTATCTTACACTTTTATCCAAAGCAACTTACAATAAGTACGATATGATAATACTTTATTTATTTAATACTTTACAGACTTCTCTACGCTGTTTCTGAAAGCTATGTAAAGAGGATGATTTCATGTTGTATTTAACACTAGAACCGCCAACGGGTACATTTTACCCGCAGCTGTTTTTTGATTGTATGTAACTTTTTTTCCATAACATATTAAAGTCTCCCAGTCCGTGACTTTTCCTGAAAGTGTGTTATGTCGCACCCTCTGTTGTTAAAAATGGTCAATAGGAAGTCAGAATGAAAAAATCGCCAAAAAAAAAGCCACTTATACCTATATCCGCCAGCGGGTAATATTTACCTCATAGAAAATGCAGCGTAAGCATGACGTGTTGCTATAGCAACGCCTTTTGTCTACTGCGGTTCCTTATAGATAGAGAGATAGATATATTGATAGAGAGAGAGAGAGATAGATAGATAGATAGATAGATAGATAGATAGATAGAGAGATATAGATAATGTAACATCTTGGAGAATACAAGATCTTGGATGACTGAGCTCACGTTGAGGACGTAATGCATGTGTGCAGGTTACGTGCCAGTTGAATAAAGATGGACACTCGGAATGAGAGAAGTAGTCCGCGTCGTCTGTTTATGTAGACAATTATATGTCCATAGAACAGAACATTACAGATAGATCGATAGATAGTTATATATAGATAGAGAGATAGAGAGATTTGTACCTAAACAAAACACAAGTCGAACACCAAGCGTTTAAATCAGCACTTGTAGCGATATTTTATACTTCATGCTATCTGCAGAAACTATATCACATGAAAAGCTGAGAGTCCACAGATTCTATTGGTATAAGTTTCATCCCTGTGCGATCAAAACTCACTGTTCTGTATGATAAATAAAAGAACATTGTACCTTGAAAATCAATAGCGGGTACATTTGACCCGTTGGCGGTTTTAGGTACACAGCGACCTCTGGCGGTTCTAGTGTTAAAGATGTTTCCTGGCTATAGGGCACTTATTTTATTTCTGTGCTGCAGGGTAAATGTTCTGCCATCACTCTGCGAACCTTGTAGGCCAGTGAAATAGTTGGCGTTGCTCTTCTACTCCTTCACAGATGTGGCTTATATCCAACACAGATTCCTCCAAGCTTACAATGTGTGCACGGAGAACATGCTGCATAAATAAAAAGTGGGAGAAAAAAGTTAAATGTCAGCACAGCTTGTTCACTTGTCAGTAGTGACCTCACTGCAGTGTGTGTGTGTGTGTGTGTGTGTGTGTGTGTGTGTGTGTGGTGTGTGTGTGTGTGTGTGTGTGTGTGTGTGTGTGTGTGTGTGTGTGTGTGTGTGTGTGTGTGTGTGTGTGTGTGAAATAAGGGAGTGAAGAAGCCGCTGTTCTTAATTGGCTTGTCCCTCGCTCTGACCTCTTGTTACAGTAGATTAGACGCTGCTGTACGTTTTGCTCTGTGGACTTAAGACTTCTTTCTGTGTCTGCCGTTAGCTTCGAGCTTCGAGTTCTCTGCTCTCTAGTGTCCTTTGGTTTATATCACGGTGGAAAAGTTGACTTTTCTTGCTGCAAGTTTGTATTTGGTTTGTAAAGCTTCACAAAGCCGAATAAAGTCAATCAGATCTCATGACTCTCAAAGTTTTATTGGTAATATGTCTCAATATTGTCTGAGATTTTATGATTCTGAATCCAGTCTTTGTAAGTTCAATACAAAGACAGTAGACCTATTATCCTTTATCTGCAATAAGGAAGTAATAAATATTGGCATATAGAGCTGAAACAATTACATAACGTCCACATGGCTGCGTTGCTTCAACGGAGACGCTTCCCATTCACTTTGAATGGGGTGACGTCAAGCTTTGCCGAACTGCATTGTTCCGTCGCGTCGCTTTGCCTCCGTTGCTCGCGCTGAAAGTTGATAAAGTTCAACCTTTCAACCGTCGACGGAAGCGCCAGCCAATCAAATAATATGCCAGTACAAGGTGCTAGCCAATCAAACGCATGCTTGTGTGTCCGGGGCGGGAGATTAATGTGATCGGTGTTGGTCTGCGCGCCAGACAACACCCACCGGAACAACGCGACGGAACGTGTGGACGCACCGCTAGAGGCCCCTGGTATTCTCATTTCCAGTTTATATCAGTATTTAGTGTCTCTCCTGTGACATGTCTTTGTTTTTCTCATACTGCCTGTGCTGCAGCACCTCTTTTCACCCTCTGTCTGAAACCAGAGCACAGTCTGCTCTGATTGGTTAGCGGCACGGCTCTGTTGGGATTGGTCAACCTCTTAGAGATGTCCCGCCCCTTAGCCTATCATGTAGAAATGTGTTGGAGCACGAGTGGCCCTGAAATTGAAGCTAAAACATCTTATCGCCCCCTGGTGGCTGGTTTGGATGTTAGTTTCGGGTTCACAGGAAGCCAAAGTTGTTATTGCTGTTAATATTTGATGAATTGTGCCGCCTCAGTGAAGCGTGGGATCGTGTAACTGTGTCTCACACACACAGAAACACACCTCACACACACACGTAAACACACCTCGCACTATCAGAAGTGGCAGCCACTGTGGCCATTGTTCCCGTCTGGGTGTTGGCCTCCCACAGTTAGTGGAGAGACACAGTGACCTGCTTATATGTCAGGAGAGGGAGGTGAGGCAAATTAGGTAAATGATTTACTTTAGGAGTGGCGGAGAATAATGCTAAATAACACAATAAAACTCAACGGTGGAAAAATAAGTCGGCTAGATTTCTATCAAGGCAAGGCAAGTAATTCAAAGTGCTTTACAGAAATGAAAGACATTAAGAGCATAAAAACACATTAGAAGCATTAAAAAGCAAAGATAATAAAACATGAATAACACAGGTAATGACTAAAAGTTTACAGTGCAGTGTGAGATGTGAATTGGAAGTAAAACATAGAATTAAAAGTGCATCATTGAAGACATTTTGACAATCACAACTTTGCAGAAGAAACAGGCCCCAAACACAGACCTCTCCGCCCCAAGGCCACCACTCCCAGATTTTGAAACAAACCCCTGCCCCTTTTACACATTTCCCTCTGCTAGCCCGAACATGTTGCTGCAGGCACTCCCTGATCTGACACGAAGATGCTTTCAGAGCAGCGGAACGAAGCGTTGCATGTGACAGCATGTACATTCGTAACATGTG